AGTCTAGATATTTAAGGAGACATAAGTCTAGATATTTAAGGGGATACAATTCTAGATTTTTAAGGGGACAAAAGTCTAGATATTTAAGGAGACATAAGTCTAGATATTTAAGGGGATACAATTCTAGATTTTTAAGGGGACAAAAGTCTATATATTTAAGAGGACACAGGCCTAGATATTTAAGGGGATGAAAGTCTAGATATTTAAGTGGACACAAGCCTAGATATTTAAAAGGACACAAGACTAGATATTTAGGAGGAGACAAGGCTAGATATTTAAGTGGACACAAGCCCAGGTATTTAAGAAGACACAAGTCTAGATATTTAAGACAACACAAGTCTAGATATTTAAGAGGACACAAGCCCAGGTATTTAAGAGGACACAAGCCTAGATATTTAAGAGGACACAAGCCTAGATATTTAAGAGGACACAGGCCTAGATATTTAGGAGGAGACAAGACTAGATATTTAAGAGGACACAAGCCCAGGTATTTAAGAGGACACAAGCCTAGATATTTAAGAGGACACAAGCCTAGATATTTAAGAGGACACAAGCCTAGATATTTAAGAGGACACAAGCCTAGATATTTAAGAGGACACAAGCCTAGATATTTAGGAGGACACAAGTCTAGATATTTAAGAGGACACAAGCCCAGGTATTTAAGAGGACACAAGCCTAGATATTTAAGAGGACACAAGCCTAGATATTTAAGAGGACACAAGCCTAGATATTTAAGAAGACACAAGACTAGATATTTAAGAGGACACAAGCCTAGATATTTAGGAGGAGACAAGACTAGATATTTAAGAGGACACAAGCCCAGGTATTTAAGAGGACACAAGCCTAGATATTTAAGAGGACACAAGCCTAGATATTTAAGAGGACACAAGCCTAGATATTTAAGAGGACACAAGCCTAGATATTTAAGAGGACACAAGCCTAGATATTTAGGAGGAGACAAGTCTAGATATTTAAGAGGACACAAGCCCAGGTATTTAAGAGGACACAAGCCTAGATATTTAAGAGGACACAAGCCTAGATATTTAAGAGGACACAAGCCTAGATATTTAAGAAGACACAAGCCCAGGTATTTAAGAGGACACAAGCCTAGATATTTAAGAGAACACAAGCCCAGGTATTTAAGAGGACACAAGCCTAGATATTTAAGAGGACACATGACTAGATATTTAAGACAACACAAGACTAGATATTTAAGAGAACACAAGCCCAGGTATTTAAGAGGACACAAGCCTAGATATTTAAGAGGACACAAGCCTAGATATTTAAGAGGACACAAGCCTAGATATTTAAGAGGAGACAAGACTAGATATTTACGAAGACACAAGACTAGATATTTAAGAGGACACAAGACTAGATATTTAAGAGGACACAAGACTAGATGTTTAAGAGGAGACAAGTCTAGATATTTAAGAGGACACAAGGCCAGATGTTTAAGAGGACACAAGCCTAGATATTTAAGAGGACACAAGCCTAGATATTTAAGAGGAGACAAGACTAGATATTTACGAAGACACAAGACTAGATATTTAAGAGGACACAAGACTAGATATTTAAGAGGACACAAGACTAGATGTTTAAGAGGAGACAAGTCTAGATATTTAAGAAGACACAAGGCCAGATGTTTAAGAGGACACAAGACTAGATATTTAAGAGGAAACCAGCTAAGATATTTAAGAGGCCACAAGTTTAAATATTTAAAGGCACAGGTAGGCTATTTTTACCTATCATACTTTAGTCTCAGAAGCTGGAATTTTTAGCTGAGCTAATCAGTAATAGTGTTCACAGT